ATATATACAAAAAAAAAAGAAAGCACTGTAATGGTCATGACTTTAATACATATTACTATAAGACAAAAAAATTGGTTATAGGTAGGGAAGAAAATTACTTGTTCTCATCATTAAATGTGTGTTGTTTCACTGTCACATTCAAACTTACATCTTGTGAAATGCAGAGAATAGCAAGTAATTCTTAATGCTGTGCATTTATCCTTTAAGTGTTATCAGTAAATAGAAATTATCATGAAGAATGCCATCTTTGTTTTAAATCTATAAAGCTCAGAATTAATTTTTTGATTCCAGACAGTTGTTTCGGAGCAGAGTAATTTTGACATAGTTTTTCCATTTATCTCTCTGATTTAATTTCAGTAATTAAAACCAGAATAGGTATATAAATGATTTTTACATGTATTATGCATTTAGTTTTTTAAAAAATTAATTTTATAAATCCATTAATTCTCAAAAGAAGGATATCAATGGCTGTTCCATTTTTCAGGGCTTTCTTCCAGACTTAAGACTCCAGTTCCAAAAGTAAGAACTTTTTCCACATCACAGTCCTCGCTTCAAGTGGCAGGTCCTGTGTGGAACCTGGGTCGACTCAATCATGTAGCAATTGCAGTGCCAGACTTGGAAAAAGCCACGGCATTTTATAAGAATGTTCTGGGGGCCCAGGTAAGTGAGACGGTCCCTATTCCTGAGCACGGAGTATCTGTTGTTTTTGTCAACCTGGGAAACACCAAGATGGAGCTGCTTCATCCGTTGGGAAATGACAGTCCAATTGCAGCTTTTCTACAGAAAAACAAGGCTGGAGGAATGCATCATATCTGCATTGAGGTATTTTATTTCAATGTTTGGTGTTTCAGATTTCTCTTTTACAAAGTGTCTTTTTTTTTTTTTTGCATTTTTAAAATTTTATTATGTTATGTTAATCACCATCCATTACATCATTAGTTTTTGAGTAGTGTTCCATGATTCATTGTTTGCGTATAACACCCAGTGCTCCATTCAATACATGCCCTCTTTAATACCCATCACCAGGCTAACCCATCCCCCCAACCTCCTCCCCTCTAGAACCCTCGGTTTGTTTCTCAGAATCCATAGTCTCTCGTGGTTCGTCTCCCCCTCCAATTTCCCCCCCTTCATTTTTCCCTACCTACTATCTTCTTTTTTTAACACATAATGTATTATTTGTTTCAGAGGTACAGGTCTGTGATTCAACAGTCTCGCACAATTCACAGCACTCACCATAGCACATACCCTCCCCAATGTCTGTCACCCAGCCACCCCATGCCTCCCACCCCCCACCAAACTGTCTTTTACTCTTTAAGACTACATATTGTCACTGTCATCAGAAACTGGTATTAAGTTCTTTAAAGGGAATGGTAATATTGGTCTTACTCAAAGATGGATCCATGGATATATTCTCTTTCCCTCTAGAAAACTAAATAATAATAATAATGTATTTTATTGAAGTCTGGATTTAACAGCCACAACAAAGGCCACCAAAGCTGGCCAAAATAGATTTTCATCTTTGCTATAGTATTTATTGATTATACATAACCTCCCATGTAATAGGAATATAGCTGCTTTCACTCTCACAAGGCAATTAGAAGAAGAAGGTGAAAAGACTTTATAAGTAAGAATTTCTATATACATGCTAAATTCTTATGATTATTTCCTATCCTTTAAATTCTAATAACTTGTTCCTTATTACAATAGCAATACATTTTCAATTACTGACCGTGATTTTTAAGACCTTTCAATTGCATCTGCTTACAATTCCCAAGGAAAACTTGAAATGTTAGACAAGAACATTCTCATTAGAGAGCCTGTATCTGTAGATACTCATGTTCAGATAACTGCCTTTTGTAATATCAGCAATACTAATTATGCTTCACTTTAAATTATTTTGATAGGACAATTCTTTTGATAGAAAGAATGGCATAATTAATTGGTAGGCCTCATTCCTAATCTAGAAGAGAAGGGGGTTGATTCTAGAGTGAATTCAAGGATTTATTCAGTTCATTTTGCAAACATATT